AGTTGGTTCTGGTTTGCACTCCTGCTGAGAATCTGCATTTCTAACAAGGCACCAGATTATGCCAATGCTGCTGGTTAAGGAGTGGGGAACAATTCTGAGAACCACTAGTACAGCAGCGGTTCTCAAATTATACATAAGAATCACCTGGGGATCTTGTTAAACTGTAGATTCTGATTCAGTCTGACACTCAGGTAATTCTTACATATAATGAATTTTTTGAATTGTAAATTACAATTTACAGGATCTTTGAAGAGACTTAAAGGCCACAAAAATATAAGAATAATGTGAATTTTCCTAGAAAATTTCTAAAAAAAGAAAATAAGTCAGGCTCTTTCGTTTCTGTCTCGCATTTGCTTTTATAATAGCCCACAGTGGAGCAGGGGGTGGTGGAGAAGAAACAATATCTACTCTCCTTCTACAGAAAGAGAAATTAACATGAAAAGAGAATAGACGATATGAACAATTAGCAGCAAACCTAGGACATGGCTAATTAGCAGCATACCAAGGACAGATCTCCAACTGACAGAAAAGCAAGGAAATTCAACTAGAAATATGCTCTCTGTTTTTGATACAGAGATGTATAAATAATAACCCTACAACCATGTAATGAAAAAACTATTACCAACAAGCTGCTTCTCAGTTTCATAGCACTGAAACTAACTTACAAAATAAAAGATCCACCAATGATATTTTATGGTAACAAAGTAGGTGATGTTACTTTGTTATCTTAAAACATTACCTAAATAACACTTCATGTGGCATGGGCATATGCTCCCACAAGCATTATAACTCCTAAAAATCTGACAAACATGTGGTTCCACAGGTTAAAGAAAGTCCCAAGCATTAAAATGAACCATAGCCATTAAAAAAAATAAAAATAAAAATAACTACGCATAGATAAAAAGCAGAATGAATGCAATAATCATGTTCAAAGAGGTCCTTGTTTCCTGATTTCTCAGGATAAACATATCAGATGTGTTTATTAAGCCATTAAGAAATTAATGGGATATTTTCTCAAATGTTAAAATTTTACATCTCAAATTTTTAGAAAATTGTTTTATATCCAGAATCCTTAACTTTCAAAACTTCCTGCCTCTTAATAAAAATCCAATACGATGAGAGTACTCACAAAATACTTTCATTTTAAGTTATGATAAAATATCTTTGCTTGGTAATTAAGGTCAAAACTCAGTTTTAGTATCTTATCTAACCACTCCCACAGAAATATACACCCTGATGGCTGGAAGCACAGAGAATTAGAGGACTGCAAGGGGCTGTGGGCAGATCTTCACATCTTGGCCCAAGAACCCAGGTCGTTCTGTCCACGTGTAAGACTTAAGGTCGGGAAAACAAATTCTCCTCTTTCTTCCCAAGTTTCCTTTTCTCTCTTGTATGGCTTTTTCATTTACTATTTCTAATAGGAAATGGTCACTACGATACCTTCAAGAATTAAATGAGCCTATTTTAAAGGCTGCTTTCTGAAAGCAACTTAGTGTTTTTTTTGGTTTTTGCAACATTACTTGCATATCTCACATATAGCAGAGATTGAAAATGTTCATATAATAAGATGATTAATAACTTCAATTTTATTTCTTTTTGATGCTCCCAATTTTTTTTTTAAAAGTAGCATGTTTCCAGAGCTTTCAAAGAAGAAAAGGGCTATATTTTTATGCACTGTAGATGTAACTATGTCATTACTTTGTTAAGTGAGATATCACAAAACTTTTAATTTTATAGTTTTCCTTGATTATTCTATCTGGGCACTCTCAACCCAGGACCCATTCTAACTACGGGGCTAGCGTCATGCAATCCTTGAATACTCTCTGGACATTTTTCAGTGAAGGCTAGAAACTAATCAGGGCCCATCAGCAAGGACTTTTAACTATAACTGTCCTGTGAAAAGACGTTCAGAAGCAAGTACAGAAAGGACTCTAAAGGGTTATAAAGTTAGCTGAACCACTGGGCAGTCTATCTCAGAAAAAGTACATCCAATTAAAGCACCAAGCTTCACTAAGCAGCATTTCTAAAGACCCCTCCTCAACTCAGAACAAGGCTTTGAACCTGTTCACTCTAGTTTGAACCCATGTTGAGAATTTGCATTTCCACCTCAGATATACTGAATCAGAATCTACATTTTAACAAGAACCCCAAGTGATTCTTACATATAATAAATTTTGAGAACCACTGGGTCTACTTGTGATTCTCAGAATTGGTCCCTAACCAGTAGCATTAGCATCATCTGGGAACTTGTGAGAAATGTACATTTTCAGCAGGGGTTCAGACTGGAATGAACTGGTTGGAAGCCCTGTCTCAGAATCAAGCTGCATGAAGGTCTTGTCCCATTATCTGCAACAAGACTCAGCCCACTAACAGAAAAATAATATCCTACACAAGCATATTCTAAGGTAACTCAACTTTCAAAATATCAGTAAGAAATATTGAATGCAAATAAGAATTATTTATACAAATGCATATGCTATATTAAATGTTATTCAAGCTTATTTTTCTCAAGACTTAAAGATTAAGATACGTAGCCAAAGAAAAGCACCTTTAAGTGGGAATCTGGAGACAGGGCTAGGGTTTCAGCTTTTGGCATGAATGCCCCGTTTTTCTTGGGTAAATCACTTTATTTCTCTAGGTCTCAGTTTCTTGATCTCTACAATGGGTAGGGTGGACTCCACAATTGCTTACATGGTAGTTTCCTGATTTACCATCTACAGCCCTTCTAGTAATTATTTTATATAGCACTTACCAGACTTTGGCTGAATAAGACCTTATAAAAATATGCCCTTTTGTTTAGATTTATACTTTATTTCTAATCCTTTTTATTATTTTGTCCACAAAAGTAAGTACTGCTCACAGTCACCAAAGTAGTGATAATTACTATAACAGCTTACATTTACCTAAGTGATTATTTGTCAGACACTGTGCTAACCACTTTATATATATTAATTCACTTGTTTCTCACCACAACCCTATGAGGTAGAAACCATTATAATTCTCATTTCAGACCTGAGGAAACGGAGGCACACAGTGATTTGTGTAACTTGCCTGGGGTCACAAGGTTCACATGTGGTGAAGCCGGAATTTGAACCCCAGGCATTCAAGCCCTGAAGCCCCAGGCACTTAACTACCACATTCTGCACACCTATAAGTCTATGAGGGCGGAGGGTGAAGCATAGCAGAGTTCATCTGCAAAATGTCGTGGAGGTCCCAAACCTGAACGTGTGCTATTCATTCTTTCAGAAGAAAAATTAAGTCAAAAGATAGTTTATGACTTACAAACCCAGTACACGCACTTGCCACTCATATTTTTATCTTCCATGCTTCAGTTTCACAGGTAAATAACATTGATTGTAGAGGGATTAAATTAAATCTACCTTGGTTCTTTCACCCGTTAGGGGAAATGCACAAGTAACAGGAGTCGTGGAAATACTGGTGACTTCCACAGCCCAGTGTTGAGTAGGCGGCACTCTTTTATAATATGGCTGGAAATCACGGTCCAGGGACACTGCACGTTAAGTCATATGCCCCAAAACCGAACAGCAGAAAACAGCCTGAAATCTCTAAGACTGGGGTGTCTCATGGGAAAGATTAGCACAAAGGACTCATGGACCACAACTACCACGGCCTCCACTAGACTGAATCCAGCACAACTAGATGGTGCCCGACTACCACCACTGACTATTCTGACAGGGATCACAATAGAGGGTCCAGACAGGGCTGGAGAAAAATGTAGAACAAAATTCTAACTCACAAAAAAAGAAAAAGACCAGACTTACTGGTATGACAGAGACTGGACAAACCCTGAGAGTATGGCCCCCGGACACCCTTATAGCTCAGTACTGAAGTCACTCCTGAGGTTCACCCTTCAGCCAAAGATTGGACAGGCCCATAAAACAAAACAAGACTAAATGGACACACTAGCCCAGGGGTGAGGACTAGAAGGCAGGAGGGGACAGGAAAGCTGGTAATGGGGAACCCAAGGTCCAGAAGAGGAGAGTGTCGACATGTTGGCAACTAATGTCACAAAAGAATATGTATATTAATTGTCTAACAAGAAGCTAGTTTCCTCTGTAAAACTTCATCTAAAGTATAATAATAAATAAATAAAACTGGGGTGTCTAAGTGCTGAGACCATGTAGTAACAACAGCAACAAAACCTGTGCATCAACATATAGTTCAGGGTGAGTTTAAACCGTGAGCTGATATTCATAATCAGGACACAGAAAAAATACTAGCAATCAAGTAAATCCTATATCTCATTGATAAACCAGTCTCGAATCTGAAGAACCCTGCACTTGGCTGACTTCCAGAAGGTCAGCATTTCAGTGGGCCAAGGCCTGGGAAGGATAGAAAGCAGATTTGAGTTCTGGAACCCAGGAAGAGTCAGAGACCTTTGACAGTCAAAGTGCTACGGACGCCCCCAGGCTTCCCCCGACGGCAAGCGTGAGTCTCCGTTTTGGCAAGGCCAAAAGGAAATTACTTCAGCGAAGAGGGGACAGTGAGCTCCTCCCGCAGGACAAAGGCACACTTTAGCTCACCACATAGCTTGAGTTTCATGTCCAAGGCCACGGACTTTTATCGACTGCTCTTTCAAAGCAGGGACTGAGAGACAGGGACTGGGAGAGGTAGCGAGAAAAGATGAGAGGAGTTGTTTTGTTTTACCTTTAAGGGAAAACAAACACACGTTTTAATGAAAACAACCCATGGAGAAGCCAGCAAAGACTTCTTCACCGGGCCTGTCTCTGGGCTTTTGAATCACTTCCTCCTTTTCTGATGTGTCTCTGAATTCGAGATTAAGAAGTTGCTGAGAAAGTCTAGCCTCTCCCGGCGGCTTCCTGCGAGGGAGCCGAGCGCAAGGCGCTGTCAGCGGCCGCAGACCCTACCCCGCCCGGCCCTCCTCGGGCGGGAGCGGGACGACGCGGCGGCACGAGAAGGGACAAGGATGGATCCGGAGGAGAGAGGGCGAACGCCGCCCAGCCCTTGCCCCCGCTTACCCCAGGGTGCTGATGAAGCCGTTGACCGAGCCCTCCGCGTACAGAGACACGATGTCCCCTATGTAGAGGAAGCTTGACATTTTATCGGACATGCTGCTTCATATTCCAGAGTGGACGTCCCTCCTCTTCCCTGCGCCTTTCTCCGGGAGCTGCCGAGGCAGAAGCGGACTGCAGCGCAGGACGGCAGCGGCGGTGAACGGCGGCGGAGAGCACGGCGGGAGAAACCGGGTGTCCGGCTCAGCCCTGCCCCCGCGCCCGGCAGCCCGGCAGGAGCGAAGTCGGAGCTGCCGACACCCCACGGCGTGCTCAGCCGCGCCGCGCCGAGAAGCCGCAGCCGCCGCCTCCCCGGCAGGTTTCCTGTTTCTTTCAGAAGTTTTCTCTCCAACACCTTTGCTCCTCCTCCTGCTGCCTCCGCTCCCCCCTCCGCGTCCCTTCCCGGCTCTGCGCCCCGCTGCAGCCGTCCCCGCCGCCTAGCGGGACCTGGAGGTTGTAGAGCCCCTGGGTCCCCTCCGGGGAATTTTTGGACCAGGTGGTGGTGCCCATTGGGCAAGGGGGAGGAAAGAAGCTCCGGAGAGGGGGCGGGCGGCCAATCAGGCAGCGGTGGCCGGGGGCGGAGCTGAGCCGGGGCGGGGCGACTCTGGGGACGCCGGGCCACCCTGGAAGACGCGGCGGTAGCCACGCGGGCCGGCGTGGGGACAGAACGCAAGGCGGCGCTGGAGGGGCGGCGGGGGCCGCGAGCCGGGGACGGGGCGCTCTGCAGCCACTCCGGAGACGCCGGACCTGGGGGGCGGGACAGTCCCCGCCCGGGGAAAGCGAGGGACTGCAGGGAGGGAGGGTAAGAATAGGCGATGGGGAGGGCGCGAAGGAGTACTTGAGCAGTGAAGTGAGCCAGTGAGATGTCTGGAGATGAAAAGGTGAAGCAAGAGTGGGAAGGGGAGGTGCGCAAATGCTGACTGAGGGAGAGGAAGGTGTTGAAGTAAAGAAAAAAATAAAGTAAAAACAATACAAATCAAAAATAAATAATATAAAGAGAGGGGGGAAAAGAATCTCGACTTGGAGAATGCAGTTTTCCTTTTTCTCAAGTATATGGCATTAACGAAACTTGATCCGTCCTCAGAGAGAGCCAGGTGGACTCGACCTTCCACCGAGGAAAGCGTTACTTGGCCGACTCAGCAAATTTTGCAGCCAACCGTAGGCCGTGAGGGCTCTGTGGAGCTGAACCTTCTCTTCAGCCTCCAAGGCCGCACCTTCTGCGCCTCCTTAACTCCAAACGAAAGTTTAACCTTCCACCTTGAGGAAGGCACTGTCAGTCTCTCTCACAGTTCTGGTTTGTTCACATTCAAAGCTGCTGACTCTTAAAGCTCCAGCGGTTATAAAGGAAACGAGGCAGGACATATTTCGAGCCCTTCTCTGTTGCTTTTGTAGCCTCATGTTATGTTACCATATTAAAAAGCCGTTTTCCTACTCACCTGAAGACACAGAGGAGCCAAACTCTGTGCGGCGATTATGACACTGGCCATCCAATCAAAAAACTGCCACTTTAGTAATCCCCGCAGAGCAAGATTTGCAGGAAGGCGGAGGGACTACGGGCGAGCAGAGCAGTGTGTGCCAAATTGTGCAACTGACCAAAATTGTAATTTACAGTTCAAAGATGTCTTAAATCTTACAGTTCAAAGATGAAAATCCACTCACGTGAATTTCTCCTTGAGACTTATATTCAAATAATGGAATATGAAAGAATAATAAGCTTAATATTCAAATGTTTGTGATTGGAAAGCCTGCAGGATAGAATAGGGTGTTAGACACAGAATCCAGGAAATGCCAGCACAAAGCCCACATGTGTTGCTATAAATTGGATCCTGTCTTTGTTTTCCTGCAACTGACAGATCTCTTTACATCTGAGTTCTCTTTTAGAAAAGGTTACAAAGCAACTTAGAAATGCCTGTTATATGATAGAAGCCCCCCTCTGTCTAGACACATGATATTAATGTTGGGAGCCTCCAAGACATTGGATATACGAGCTTTTAAAAAGCTTGAGATGAAACAAGTATAATAACTCTGGAAATGGAGGTTTCTGTTTATATAAGGGATCAGTGCACTACATTCTGTGGTTCCCCATATTGCACAGACCTGTGCCATGCAGTCAATGGATGCTAAACTCTTATTGGTCAAAGGCATGCGTGTTCTTTGTTTCCTCTAAGCACAGATTATCTGTAGTCAACACAATACAAAATGAGTGGGTGGTTGTTTATGCTAATCAATAAGTACAAACTTCAAGTCATGTACCCAAGTCCAATGTCTTTCTTCCTCCTCACCACCCATCACCCACTGAGGTGTCCAGTATAGTGTCAGAGCTAGATCTACTCATCATTCTATATTGGCATGCCAACCACCAAAGATTCAGGCCCTCCTTCCATTGCAGTGAAGACTCCGTAAGAGGGATCTCCACGGCCTTAGCTATTATGGCAACTTCATCCTTTCATTTGCTCAATTCAAAAACCTTAGTATTATTTTTGTCTCCTCTCTTTCAGTCACACCCCACACTCAGGCCATCAGCAAACCCTGACAGTTCTACCTTCAAACTATCAACTAAACCCAACTATATCTCAACACTCCTACAACCCTGGTCCATATCTCCATCATCTCTCTTCTGGATTGCAACAGACTCCTCACTGACCTCTGTTAACACCTTTGCCCCCATATGATCTGTTCGCAACCAAGAAGCCAGACTGTTACTATTAAATGGAAGGTAATAGCTCAAAAGACTACAACGGCTTCCCATCTCAGAGTAGATTCTAAAGTCATTACCATGGCCTAAAAGGCCCTATATGATCTGCCCCTTGCACCACCATATAGTACTGTTGTACAGATTCACATATGTGAACGGCGCCCCCAGCAGTGTGCAGTACACACCTGCACAACCATTCTGGGCAGCAGCCAGCCAAGTCTAACCTACCATCACCTTGACAACCACCTCTCTGATTTCATCTCTACCCTCTTGATTATGACACCCTGGCCTCGCTAAACCTCACAGATGCCAACCTACTCCTTGCTGAGGACACATCACTTGTTATTCCGTCTCCAGGCATACTCTTCCTACATATACACGCAATGCTCACTCCTGCTCCTCCTTTGGGTCTCGGCTCCAATGTCACATTATCAGAAGAGTCCTTCCCTGACCACCCTATATAAAATACCATCCCCAGCTCCATTTACTCTCTATACCCTATTTAATATTTTTCCTCAGCATTTACTGTCACATAAGATGTTATGTTTTTTTTTGTTTTTTTTTTTGTTTTTGCTTATTTATTGTCCTGTCTCCTCCCACTCCTCCATTACTCCTGTATGATGTCAGTGAATTTGTCTGTTTTCTTCGCTTCTTTATCCCCCTACTGTAGAATGGTTCTTGGCACATGGTAGACAACCAAGAAATGTATACTGAGTGAGTGAAAATAAAAATCACCCAGTCAGGTCTTAAAAGCTAGCGAGCGGCCATCTAAGATGCATCAATTTGTCCCAACCCACCTGAAGCAAAAGAGAATGAACACCAAAGACACAAGGAAAATATGAGCCCAGAGACAAAAGGGTCACACAAACCAGAGACTCCATCAGTGTGAGACCAGAAGAACTAGACAGTGCCCGGCTACCACCGATGACCACCCTGACAGGGAACATGACAGACAGTCCCTGATGGAGCAGGAGAAAAGTGGGGTACAGAACTCAGATTCACATAAAAAGACCAGACTTAATGGTCTGACTGAGAGACCCTGGAAGACATGGCCCTGGACTTTGTTAGCCCCAAACTAAAACCATTCCCGAAGCCAACTCTTCAGACAAAGATTAGTGTGCTTCTTAGCTCAAGTAGATACATGAGTCTAAATGGGCAGCTCCTGTCCAGAGGTGAAATGAGAAGGCAGAAAGGGACAGGAGCTGGTTGAATGGACATGGGAAATCTGGGGTGGAAAGGAGGAGTGTGCTGTCACAGTATGGGGAGAGCAACTAGGGTCACATAGCAGTGTGTGTATAAATTTTTGTATGAGAAACTAAGTTGAACTGTAAACTTTCATTTAAAGCACAATTAAAAAAAAAAAAAAAACCCAGCCAGTTCAGTTACCTTTACGAAGGCACAAGAATTTCTGGGAAGCTTGCTGCCTCCAAGAGTAGCCACGCTTGAACTGGGGTGCAGGTCCATCCTAATCAGATCCCAAAACTTTTTTGAGTTTCTATCATTGCCCACTTTTTGAAGTTAATCCTGGGACAAAGACCCATACTTAACTTTAACCCTAATTCCAACCTATTCTACCCAGATGCCAACATGTTCCATGAACCCCCTGGGATTTAGCTAAATCCCAGATAAGAGAAGAAAAAAGAAAGGGGAAAATTCTGAATTAAACTGGGATTAAACCTAAAGTGACAGAGAAAACCTGAAGCTATTGAGTTTATTCATCACTGACTAGATTGTTTGCCATCAGTAGAACTGGGCACTTAAATTATCAAAATATAGTCTGGTTCCATACCATATACAAAAATTAACTCAATATGGATCAAAACCTAAATGTAAGAGATAAAACTAGAAAACTGTTAGAAAAAAAATAGGGATAAATCTTTTAACCTTGGCTTTGGCAATGGTTTCTTAGATATGACACAGCAACATAATAAAAACTAGATTCATTGGGCTTTGTCAAAACTGAAAACTTTTGTGCTTCAAGGACACTATCAAGAAAGTTAAAAGGCAATTCATAGAATGGGAGAAAATACTTGCAAATCATATATTTGACAAGGGTCTAGTATGCACAAAATATAAAGAACTCTTACAACTCAACAATAAAAAGCCAAATAACCTAATTAAAAAATGGGCAAAGGATCTGAATAGGCATATCTCCAAAAAAGATATATAAATGGCTGATAGGCACATGAGAAGATACTCAACATCGTTAGTCATTAGGGAAAGGCAAATAAAAACCACTAGTGTGGCTATAATCAAAAACAGAGATACTAACAAGTGTGGTAAGGAAGTGAAGAAATTGGAACCATCATGCACTGCTGTTGGGAATGTAAAATGGTGCAGCCACTTTGGAAAACAGTTTGGAAGTTCCTCAAAAATTTAAACTTAGAGTTACCACTTGACCCAACAATTCCACTTTTAGGTACATACCAAAGAGAAATGAAAACATATGTCCACACAAAAACTTGTATATGAATGTTCACAGTAGCATTATTTATAATAGCCAAAGTGGAAATAACTAAAATGTCCTTCAACTGATGAATGGATAAAGAAAATGTGGTGAATACATACCAAAAAATGGAAAAACAAACCCACTGCTGTCGAGTCAATTCCAACTCATAGCAACCCTATAGGACAGAGTAGAACTGCCCCATAGAGTTTCCAAGGCTGTAAATCTTTAGGGAAGCAGACTGCCACATCATTCTCCTTCGGAGCAGCTGGCGGCTTCTAACCACTGACCTTCCGACCTTTTAATTAGCAACGGAGTGCTTCACCACTGAGCCAC